CGGAGGCAAAGAGCCCTACCACTCGCCCGACGTGGGGAGAGAGGAGGGAGAATTGGGAACGTTTTTTTTTCCTTTTGGTGTCACATAATGTTTACTAAAGCGTATTATCTTCTTCCTTATATGAGAATTGAGAAGTCGCATCATTTCCTTTAGCGTATCGTCCGTCATGGTATTTTAAAAGTGAGGAAACCAGTTTTTTATAGATTTTTATTTTAAACGAATATGAGAATGGATTCTGTAATACTTTAGACGAATCCCACATCGACAAAACTCGAGAGATTCATGGTTCATAAGCAGGAAATCGGCTTTAACTGACAAGACACATTTTGGGGTGAAATGGAAGAGTTCTTGTGAGAACTCCGAAGTTAAACGTGCTCAGTGTGGAGTACAACAAGGATGGATGACCTTATGAGAAATCACCATGAATTGCACCCCAAGTCGAAAACCGTACGAGTGTAGAGACCCAAAAAGGAGAAGAGCAAGTTGTCAATGATGATTCAACCCGAAGACAACAAATTTTAAGGTTAAGAGTTCGATTCTCCATCGATTGCATTGATGCTTCTCTCCAATGGCTAAGGAGCAGAATACAAGCACTAGCTTCCCATAAAATTATGTTGCTTATGAGTCTTCAAATGTTTCAACATCACACAATAATGTAGACCAAAGTAGTTGCCAAGGCCATTTAGAAAAGAAAGTAGTTAAGTGGCAAACACCACCATTCCAGCAAGTGTTGCATGGCTGGTGTGGGAGATATGTGGGGTGAACAACTTCCTTGTAAATTTATATTGCCCACGCAAGAGATTGGATGCACAATTTCATTGGCCGCATCCGACAGGCGAACATTGCTAATTCTTTATTGGATCTAAACCCTCTTGTGTTACCGGATAATGTTCGTCATATCATATATTTCTAATTTTCTATTGGCTGCAAAGGGAATCATAGGGGCTAAGATCTGGTGACTAAGGGGGGTCCCCTTAGTCACATGACTAAGTGAATCTCCCCCTTGCACTTCATTAAAATCCAAGGGCTCCTATTAATTCAATTTAATGAAAGGGCAATGTAGTAATTGCATGTTTATTTTTAATTTTTAATTATAAAAGAAATAAATAAAAAAACAGTGCCGGCCGGCCGGCCGTCCCCGTCGCCTCCCGCATCCGGTCCGATAATTGCGCGGCCAGTGGGCAACTGGGCGCCATTTTTTCCCCAAAAGAGTTCCTGTGCGCCCATTCCATTATTCCATTAGATAGAGAGAGAGAGAGAGAGATTTTCTGGTCGGAATTTTTTTCCCGGCGAACATCGTCGCCGGAGAAAAATTTCCCGGCAGCCGTGCTAATTTTGTGATGTTGTTGACATATTTTGTAATGTTTATATGCTTTGTTATTTTGTAATGTTTGTCGGTTTTTTTTGTAATGTTTGTAAACTTTGTTATTTTTGTGCACCATGTTTGTAAACTTCGTCATTTTTGTGCACCATGTTCGTAATGTTTTTTATGTCTAAAAAACACCCGGGTTGACTTTGGGGAGGAGCCCCTCTATATAGGGGTGGAGCCTCCAAAGTCAACCCGGGTGTTTTTTCCCGTTCGTATGGATTGTCGGTCTAGTTTGTCATTTTTGTCCACCATGTTCGTACTGTTTGTATGTCTAAAAAACACCCGGGTTGACTTTGGGAAGGAGCCCCTCTATATAGGGATGGAGCCTTGAAAGTCAACCCGGTTGTTTTTTCTTTTTGTATGGTTTGTATTGTTTGTCGGTCTAGTTTGTATTGTTTGTACAGTTCATACGTTTGTAATGTTTGTAAATCTGTTTATATGTTTTGTCGCTCTAGTTTGTACTGTTCGTATGTTTGTATGGTTTGTACTGATTGTAAATCCGGTTTGTATACTTCGTAATTTTCCATAATACCCAAACTACCCCTGCCATTAATTAAATAGCCCTTCCCACTTTTTAACCATTGGATTGAAGTGTCCAGATCTAATGGCTAGGAGGGGCTTAGTCAAGTGACTAAGGACCCCCTTAGTCACCAGATCATCATAGTCATCAACTAATTATCATTATCTCCCAAAGAGACGACAATCAAACTGGACGCTTAGAGAACCAAAACATTCATATCAGTTTCCAACATGAGGCTGATGGCTGATAATTAGAATTTAGAAAAGGTATTGAGGGATTCACAAATTCTGATATCTAAACTAATTTCCAAATTAACCTGCATTTTTTATTATCTTAATAACATCGATGATGGGGACGATTATGACCATACCTCCCTTCTAAAGAGGTACACAAATCACATAAAAAAAGATTGAGAGGCTAAAGCCTCTCAATGATAGTAAAGTATATAAGTTTTAAAATTAAATTTCTTCCAAAAAAATCAAATCATAGGACTAAACTAAGGCTAATCGGTTCGGTTCGGTTATACCCGGAATCGTTTAGTAGGTTCTCGGTTAATCATTAAGCACTTTGTGCTTACTGTTAACTACACCGTTTAAATTAGTCAATTAACCGTAACTGCATAGTCGGTTCTCGGTTATTTGTCGGTTAACCGAATAACCGTTAACTAAGTGATTTAACAAGATTACACCAAAATAACCGATCGATAACCCAACCAACACAAGAGCTACTTCTTTCAATTGTGAAATTTTCTATAATTTTCCATACATACGCATGTATTTTTTTTATTAAGTTGTTATCATTGAATAACAAATAATTTAACATAGATATATCAATACATAATCTACTAAATCCAACACAAGTACACAATAATATCATTATACCGTCAAACTTTATTAAAAAAGCATACAATGATACTCAACATTAATTACTCAACTCGTAAACCCCATCAAATTAATGGAAGTTTAATGTTACTAATTGTTGTCGAACAACTATGCGCAAGTCTGACTTTCTACTGTGTTCCTTATAAAACTCTTCCTTTAAATTATTTTTATTTGAATCTAAGTCACTATTACAACTAGGATAGACAAGGGGTCTTGTAAGCTTTCAAACGCCCCATTATTTTCGGCCTATGTTTGCAACTCATGGAAGTCTATTATTTTGGCTCTAACTATGAGGATGCTCGTAATCGGTTAGTCGGTAAACCGTTTAACCATCGATTATTAATTGTTTAACCATCGGTTAATTATTAGCTAAATTTGACTACCGGAAACCGACCATTTTATCATTTAATCGATTATCGGTGTAAGTGTAACCGTTAAGCACCGATTCCGGTTTGGTTATCGATTACACCGTTAATGGGATAACCGTTTATCAGCCCTAGACCAAACGATTGTTGTCACACCCCACAACTGCAATGATGCAGTAAATTGTCTTGTCAATTTTGGCCATTCTCTCCTCATATCGCTTGATTGATTAGTGAGGAGGGTCACGGTTTGTCGAAACCCTGGGAATGGCTCCCTCCCGCCCTCCAAATTTCAAACGGTTCAGGAAGGCACGTGGTCAGGGGTAAATGAGTTCAGGGAATTCATTCATTGCCTCACCAGTCACCAGCTAATTGCCCAGTAATAATATAGTAATGACAACCCTTACTCCCTTTCCTATTAACAAATGAAAACATTAACGAAGGCTGCCTGCCTTACTTTGGTTTGCATCTCAAGTGGATAGAAGAAGAAAGTGCTCCAGTCTAGACGGCACGAATTGTTACCTTGAGTCAATTGCAAGCAAAGCTATCTCGGGAGACAGAGAGAGAGAGAAAGAACAGAAGGGCCAGAGGAAACAGAACATAAAAGGCAAATGTGTGCCCCAAAGATGGAAAAGAGCCATTGACTAAAAGCACTGCTCCAAACACAGAAAGTGGATTTGACATACATGAGGCCGATGGACAGGGAAACAACTCAATAAGAGAGTGTTTCTATACCTATCTATGAGCATATAACATCAAATTTTGCATCATCATATTCCAACACGTTTGCCCATCTCAATTTATAATGCGCAGCGAATTCATTTATGAGCAATACATCAATATCATGCAAATCGATGAGAGTCGTGAAATGCTACCTGCAATAATATTGTAATAAATTCAACTAGTAAGCAGACTAACTCAACCGATCATATACGCTAATCACTAAATTGCGTATCCAATGTTCTTGCCATTGGAACTTATGTACGGAATCCTTCTTCATAATTGCAGTATCATTTCATTGATCATGAGGAGACCTTTTTTGATGCTCAAAAGGTGTGGTTGTTTGTCCAAGGTTGGTCCATAGGTTACCCCATTCCCACAAATCAATGAAGTAGGGGTGTTTGCCAATTCATCTCCAGTACTTTTTTCCTTCTCTTCATGTGCCCTGTGGCTGTAATTATAATTTTGGTTTGGTGGTGCGTCACTGTCAAGAAAACAACCCTAGCTAGCTCTGTTTTCCAGTTCACTTCACTCCACCCATCTCTCTCCATCTCTCTTCTTAGTTCTTACTAGGTTGTTTTGAATTTGCACCTAAGCAAGCAACACCGCAATGGGTGTGGTGAGGGGGGAGGATTTGCTTCATGACTTCATCGATCATCATTGTTCTTCTTGACTTCATCACCTACAACAAACCCATCTTTTTGTGTAGTATTAGAGCATCTCCCGTCGATAAGAATAACTAATTTTATTGACGGAGTCAGAAATCTAAACGAGGGGACTAAAGATTTTACGATGGAGAAATTTAAATCATGATCATTAAAAAGGAGAGATAGAGCCTTACCAACTACTCTATTTTTCCGGAATTTATTAAAAATTTTAACCTCTTGTTGGTAATGGTAATCACACGAAGTCCTTAAACGACTGGCCACACAGAGTGAGGTCTTTGAGAGAAAGAAGAATTTGCAATGGGTTGCGGTCGAGTTTCTCAGCCCGTCCGTCGGGGACAGGAAGCGCCCATTATTTTCTGACGGGCCAAGCCTTAACTTGATAAGAAGCAGCATTATGGGCTCATGGGCCTTTGCAGTTAATTGGACCCTAGCCCTCGTCGTCCAATATAAGTATCTCCATCCGTCTGTCCTTCCACGTGGATTTTGTGGATGGGAGGGAAGGAGAAGGACAGCAATGGATGTCTGGATGATGTGCCAGCCAGAGAAAACAGAATCCTTCTTCTTCCCCCCGCTTACTCTGCTTGCCTTGCCGCAATAGCCACTTGATAAACCATAAAGCTCCAAGACAAAATGCCCCTAGGAGCCGCTTCGGCTCCGCGCCTGCAATCCCCATTTCTCTGCTGCCCTCTCAAATCGCCATGTTCGTCTCCTTCCAAGTCCGCCAGAAGCTCCACCCTTCAATCCCCCCGGCGGCCGCCTTATCCCCTCGTTATAGCCGCTGATCTCGACGCCAACACGGTCTCCACCTTCCTTCCTTTGTTCCTCTTATTTGGGTTCTGAATTTCTCACTCAATTGTGATGGAATTGAACATTTTCCGCGGTTTTGAATTTTTCTCAGATTACAGCCATATCCGTTGGGCTAGTGAGCGTGGCAGTGGGGATTGGCATTCCAGCATTCTACGAGTCCCAAATCGATAATGCTGTGAGCAATCCTTAATCTCATTTAAACTGTAACTAGAATCTATAAGATGCATTAGTTTCTACTTTCTGGTTTATGGTTTCGATTTGATTTTTGGGATATTTTGGGGTAACTTGCAGTCAAAGAGGGACAACACTCAGCCTTGCTTCCCCTGTAGCGGCTCCGGTGCCCGTAAGTAAAACCCTTCTCTGCTATGCCCTTTCTTCGTTTGATAGCTCTGTTGAGTGCATTTTGCCATGAAGACCTTTCAAGTTTCCAACTGCACTGGGTGTGAGGCAAAAGGGCTATAGCGCATACGCAGCATTGCAAGTTTGCAACTGAACCTACATTCATGTCGCCTAGAGAAACATAGCTTTTTATCGTCGAATGATTGAACATGGTTCCTCTTTTACCTTACTGCTGAGAATTGGAATTGGCTTTATGGCCAGAGAGATGCAGATTTTGCGAGGGGACTGGCTCGGTGACGGTGGACTTAGGAGGGGGCGAGAAAGAAGTGTCTCCATGTATCAACTGTGATAGTGCTGGTTCATTGACTTGCACCACATGTCAAGGCTCCGGGATTCAACCGCGTTACCTCGATCGGAGGTACCCTCGGCCTATCATGATAGATGAATCTTGTGCAGCAAGCAAAGTCTTAGGTTTCTTCATTTTAATTTCAATCAAAGATCATACTTAGTGAATGAATGATGGGAACTTTGGTGTTTTGTGTGTTTCTGACAGGGAATTCAAAGACGACGACTGAATTACGTTTAGTTCGATCCCAAGAACTTGGGTACATTTTGGTCCCAACTCTGAACATATGGAAGAGAAGATCCAACAGTCATTCTTTCCAGTCTACTTGTAACCTTGCATCTATGTACCTCTCCAACTACTCTTTATAGAGCTTTTTTGTCAAATCTTTTACTCTTGTTACACTGTTGATACTGTACAATTTTCTCTCTTTTTGTTGAGACCAACTGTAAAAAGTGATACATTATCTCTATTAAGCTTGGCTCCAAGTTAAGAACAGGTTTGGTGGTGATTTCACATCCATACTAATCAACGTATAAAACCAGAGGGAACAAGAAGAACAGAGTAAGTGAAGTAAAAAAGAGGTTCAGAGTTGCCTGTGAAGAGGCTCAGTTAGAAAGCTTTGGGCAAACTTGCTTGTCTAGAGGTTTCCTTCATTCAATCATTATATAGAGTTGACTTGTTTCGAAATGATACTTGTTCTTGCTGCATAAGATGGAGATACCGGTTGAGTTGGGTTCGCTCTGGTGGGAAGCGAGGACCAGATGATAGTTTCAGGACCTGTGAAGCAACTTTTCCTTTGCAATGCCTTGTGATAACAGGCAAAATACATCTTGGAGGAAGAAGTGCTGAACATCTATTGAATTAAAACAAGCAAGGATTCAGACCAGAAAGATAAAAAATTTGGTCCCAACTCTGAACATATGGAAGAGAAGATCCAACTGTTGATATCAACCCAGAAAACAGATGCAACAACAGGAACGGAGTAAGTAGAGTAAAAAGACGGGACAGAATACACAAAAACGTTGATCTATTTCACAAGCTTGCTTACCATCATTCATTACAATAGTCGGCCATGGGAACTAACTGAAACCCTAAAGAAAACAACACTACAACGAGCAGAAACTAACAAGAAAACGCCATCAACTACTGCACGGCCATCCACACGACTCTTTGACAACTTGGGCTATCCACAAGACTATTTGGCAACTCCGTTAGGGTTTTCGGCCTCCTTGGCTTTCGCCTCGAAGTAGTAGTAGAACATCGTAATCAGCCACGAAGCAAAAGCAATGAGACATGGGTTAACCATGGATCCATCACCTCCATGGGTGTCATCATCATTCCTCCTCGCAACAAATCCGTAGAGAGCAACCGCAGCCAATAACCCATCAATGATACGGTAGCCATAAGTGGGTCTCAGAGCAAGGTACATGGAAACAATCACCAGTACACCAAGCAAAGCAATCAGTGCATAAGCAGAGTTGTAGACACCAGCCCAGATTTTGACACAGTTTAAGCTCATAAAGATTATGGACCCAAAGGAATTGGACAAAACACCAGGAGGGTTGAAGAAGAGCCGTTTAGCGAGGTTGGTCTTCCTCCACTGGTGTATCTTATTGAAGTAGAGGACGAGGAATGGGTAGCCTGCGCCGGTGAAAACCCCCAGGAGGAAGACTCCGTCAGTTCGAGCAGGAGAGCTCTGAGTGAGAAGTGCGGCGGTGACGAAACCGGTGTAGGAGAGCAGCGCGACGACGAGGAAGACGAATGTGTCGGAGAATCGTGAGAAGAGGGTATAGAAGAGAGAGATACCAAGTGGTTTCTTGAAGTACGGGATGGTGGTAACTGGGCGAGCGATGATGGAAGGGTAATCGACGGTGAGTGCTTTCATGGCGCCAGTAGTCGAGGAGGCCATTCTGAGAAGTAAAGGGTAACAGCTAACAACAAGAGAATAGAAAATAGATCTGGTCGATTGAAGAAGAAAAAAGAAGAAGAGAGGTGAAAGTAAAATATCTTTCACCTGGGTCGGGTATACCTCGGGTCGGGTCGGTGGCGCAGGGTGTTTATTAGGGCTTTGACTATTGTTTTGACTATGTTTCATCTCCCCCGTTTTCGTTTTAGGGTTTTAGCAGAGCAGGAACCTGTAAGAAAAGGAAGAAGAGGAAGAAGAAGGATGTTGTACGTTATAGGATTGGGATTGGGCGACGAGAAGGATATCACTCTCAGAGGGTTAGAAGCAGTGAAGAAGTGCGAGAAAGTGTTCATGGAAGCTTACACTTCGCTGCTCTCCTTCGGCCTCTCCGACGACGGAATCGCTACTCTGGTAAGTTCCCTTCTTCTTTTTCTTCTTCGGATTCCGATTCCGATTCTCTGTCTTGATCATATTTTCTTCTCCGGGGACAGGAAAATCTATACGGGAAGCCGATTACGATCGCCGACAGGGAGATGGTGGAGGAGAAAGCCGACGAGATTTTGTCCGAAGCTCGTGCCTCCGATGTCGCCTTCCTCGTCGTCGGAGATCCCTTCGGGTAAGATTGTAGCAGAACTTCTCGTCTTAGTTTGGGCTTCTTTTGTTTTCGAATTGGTGAATGAGCTGATTCGTGAAGATTTGGCAATTTGGCAGAGCTACGACGCATAGTGATCTAGTGGTTCGAGCTAGGGAATTAGGGATTGGGGTTAAGGTAGTGCACAATGCGTCGGTGATGAATGCGATTGGGATTTGTGGGTTGCAGCTCTATCGATATGGCGAGACTGTTTCGATTCCGTTCTTCACTGATGTTTGGAGACCTGATAGCTTCTACGAGAAGATAATGAAGAATAGGGAGCTTGGACTGCATACTCTCTGCTTGCTAGGTGGGAATTATATGTTTGTGGTTCATCCTCTTCAGCCAGGGGAACTTGCTGCAACTTGTTTTTTTGAGAATGTGATGAGAAATTCTTATGCTTGGGTTTGTTGCTGTAGATATTCGAGTGAAGGAGCCTTCGTGGGAGTCCTTGTCGAGGTTTGTATTTGAAGAAAGAAACCATTGTGTTTTCGATTACTTGTAGAGTACTTTTGTTCTTAGTTCATTTCCTCTGCTGGCTTCTTTTTTTTTCAGGGGTAAGAAGAAGTATGAACCACCAAGGTACATGACGATAAACACTGCTATTGAGCAACTGCTGGAAGTTGTACAAAAGCTTGGAGGATCTGGTACGTAAAGAGAAACCCTTGAAATCTACATACTGGTTGAATGTTAATTGCTTTATACGAAAAAGGGGTTCCGTCACAAAGCTTTGAGCAAGCTTGGACGTGAACAGGTTCTTCACTGGAAATCATTGCCTAGCAACCGGTTACCAGAAACTTAAGATCTCCCCCAATGAGCTGATAAAGCTTCCTTCTACTATTGTTCATGCTGCGAGATTACATGATTCTTCTGATGTTATGATTGAAATATTTATCCTGGATGAATCTTTATAGTCGGCTTATTTTGAAATGCGACCTGTATTGCAGCATACGATGAAGATACCGATTGTGTTGGGTTTGCTCGGGTGGGAAGCGAGGACCAGATGATAGTCGCAGGGCCAATGAAGCAGCTTCTTTCAGTCGATTTCGGGCTACCTTTGCATTGCCTTGTGATAACAGGCAAAACGCATCCACTGGAGGAAGAAATGCTGAATACCTACCGCCTCAATACAAACAACGATTCAAACCAGAAAGATGATGGGAGTGTATAATTTACTTGTTGTCCAAACAACCACTGTAACCTATTCATTCGAGTTGTAATCGAAATGTAACATCGAAATCTTGTTTTGCTTATTGTAGTTCTGCGAAATTGAGTAACACATATGATGTGCTCAACTGATTTTGGCGCCATTTTGTTACTTAATTGCATGACAAGCAGCGTTACATTTCTGGTCAAGTTAACAAGTTCTCAAGCTGACATTGCCAAGTATCTTTAGGGCAATAAACTCAAACGACTGTCGCAATATCCCGACGCATGCCGACACTCTGTAAGCTAGCCAACGGCGGGCAAGAGCTACTGTCCCTCAGGCCTCATCTCACCTAATAACCGGAAGCCCTCCTCCCCGGGAGTTAGGGCTGGGCATGCGGGCGGATCATCCGCGGGTTTGGGCCGACCCACCCGCATTTGACCCGAATTTCGTTAAGTGGGTGGGTCTGTGGGTGGGTGACGGGTTGCGCTGGGAGCCATCCACCGGGTGGTGGGTGAGTTGTGGGTGGGTGCGCGGGTGACCCGCTCAACCCAACAGCAAAAAGATCAAAGTCGTTGGCGCTAGAGAGGGGAGAGTGGAGACGTTAGACATAAACTAGGACTGCTCCTTCCTGGAGTTTGAACCTCAAAGTCAACATTCCAAACAGTGATCCCCTCTTCTTCCCTTTATTTTCCCCTCTAATTCTTGTGCCTAGATCACCGGTTTTTCCTTTGTGGAATTATTTTCCTTGGGTTAATTGCATAGTTGGTCACTGAGATTACAAAAAACGTTTATGTTTGGTCACTGAAAATATTTAAATCCAATTTTGGTCACTCAAATTAGTTAAATGGTTCAAGTTTGGTCACTCTCCGTCCAACTCCGTTAAATATGTCTGATGTGGCAGTCAACCCTCAAAGTTGACCGTTAACTCGGTGACGTGGCAATTAAAAAATAATAAATAAAATAAATTTTAATTTCCAACTCATTTCCAACTCAACCCGTCGCCGGTGAGCTTTTCCCCGTATGGCTACTTCCCTAATCTCTCCACTCACAGATGAGACTTCCGCCACATCACTGTTGACCATAACCATAACAATCACAATATCCGCCGTCGTTCTCTACTTCCTCGGAAATCTCCGAAGAACCAAATCGTCGCCGGGTCCACGTGGGCTGCCGGTCGTCGGGTACCTCCCGTTCCTCCGCCGCAACGACCTCCACAGGCAGCTCACTTCCCTGGCTGAAACCCACGGCCCAATCTACACAATCCAGGGCCTCAACAGATCCCTGGTCGTGGTCAGCTCCCCGGATCTGGCGAAAGAGGTCCTTCGGGTCAACGAGTCCATCTTCTCGACCCGCCCAATACCGATTGTGGGCCGGATCTTAACCTACGGCGGCATTGACCTCGCCAACCTGTCGTACGGCCCCGATTGGGCGGCAAGGACTGCCAGCTCATGGGTCTCACATGGCTGCTCGCCAAGAACCGGACGGCCTACATCCACACAGTCTCGGCCGTGCTCCGGGCGATAATGATGAACAACGACGATGGTGTGGATTCCCAGCAGCATTCGTGCGCTCTTAATCGCGACGGAATGCCCCTTGCTGTCGATTCGTATGAAATCCAGAGCAGCTCCCCGTCAATGTTGGTGGTGGTGGTCGATTCGACCCTGGCCATGTTGTGGGGCGGCGGCGGGGAGGGAGGAGGGGCGCCGCCGAATTTCGCGGCGGAGTATCGGGAGGCGACGAGGGAGATGACGGAGCTGTTGGGGCGGGCGAATGTCCGTAGAAGCAAGCAATAGTCAAAGTTTTTCTCAGTCTACAACTCTAACCCGTCGCCGGTGAGCTTTTCCCCGTATGGCTACTTCCCTAATCTCTCCACTCACAGATGAAACTTCCGCCACATCACTGTTGACCATAACCATTGCAATCACAATATCCGTGGCCGAATCTTGGTCACTCATTTCCAACTCAATTTTTTTTTATTTTACTTTATTGTGAAAATGAGTTGGAAATAGTAGAAAATTAAAATTTATTTTATTTATTATTTTTTAATTGCCACGTCACCGAGTTAACGGTCAACTTTGAGGGTTGACTGCCACATCAGACATATTTAACGGAGTTGGACGGAGAGTGACCAAACTTGAACCATTTAACTAATTTGAGTGACCAAAATTGGATTTAAATATTTTCAGTGACCAAACATGAACGTTTTTTGTAATCTTAGTGACCAAACATGTAATTAACCCTATTTTCCTTAGTTCCTTGCACCTGATAATCATCTTAATCTGTAGAAAACTCTTTCATAATAGAATTTCTATCCAATTTAAGAACTAATTCGACATTTTTCGCCCTATTTCATCTTCTTGTTTCCCCCGATAACTCTCTTCACCTATTATCATGTCAAGTTAACTCCTTTATATTATATACATTGTGATGTGGGTGAACCCACAAACCCACCCGTATCATCCACCATCCGCCCGACCCAACCCGAGACTAAATGTGGGTGGATGGTGGGTTAAAAATTAGCAATCCGTTTAAGCGCGGATGGGTGCATTTTATGGTCAAAATCCACCCGACCCACCCAATGCCCACCCCTACCGGGAGTTACTAATTAACGCCCTAAAATTCAAAAATCACCGCCCTAAATTAAACTGAAATTACACATTTACCCTTCATTCAAATTACCACCGCCCTAACCCTTGCTCTGCTCCGCCGACGACGCAGCCACCTCTGCTGGTGAGCTCCTCAAAGACGAAGAAGAAAATAAAGAATCCCCGCCGGCCACTGCCGCCACCTCCTGGTCAACGCCGACGTTGGCTTCCGATCCTTCTTCATCGCTGCCGCATAGCTCCCCTTCCGTTCCCCAACATCGTCGGGATTGACCCGGAAGAACACCGGATAAACCACCTGCTTGTGCCGCTTCCGGCACCGAAGGTTCTCCACCATTTTGTCCAGGCACCACTCCAAATTCGAGTAGTTCTTCGAGAACACCACCACCGCCATTCTCGATTCTTGAATCGTTTAAGCCGCAACTACGATATGTCCTCCCCGCGCCGGAGGCTCACATAGTCGATGTAGGTCAGGATCCGCCGCCACCGCAGCGACGCGTTAAGATAGCTCGTGAAGTTTTCCCCTGTGTCCCCTACCATGAAGCTCAAGAACACGTCGTACTTGTGCACCACCGGGACTACCTCGGCGGCGACGACATCGCTTGAATTGGATCCGGCCACCGCTGCCGGTTGCCGACGGTTACGAGTGAAATGGAGGATGATTTGGGTGAGGAGAACGGAGAGATGGATCAGTACAAGGACTATGCAAATTCACATAATTGATATCAGAAGAGAATAGGCCATAGGGGAATGGCGAACGGTGGATTAAATGCTTGAATAAATTTTTCTTAAAGATTAATTTTGGGAGGACGACGACTTGGCTGTACTGGATTTCTATTTACTGGCAAAGGCGCAGCAACGTAGGTGGAGGTGGCGGCGGCGACAGGCGGAACAAAGCTAAATTAGGGATTGGGAGGCAGCTGTGACTTTTTTAGTGATTGGGGCAGTATGGTCTGTTTGGGTAAGGTTAGAGCGATAATTTTAAAAAGTTAGGGCGTTAAATAGAAGTTCAGTTTTTTCAGGTTTTTTTTATCCTTCTGTTTACAGGCTCTTAATTTGTTACTGAAAGGCCCAATATTCGAAGTCCACTACGATAGTAAGATTGGGCCTTCTTAAGGGTCTCTTCAAAACTGGGACCAGGTATCAGCAAAGGCCTTGGCCCAACTTTGACACTGACAGCTCAACTGTTCGTTTTTTTCTTCCATACCTACCAACGTGCCCCCACTAAATCAATGGTTGCTTGAGAGTTGATACTTGGAAATTGGAATCCTTTTCACCACCATCCAATATCATCGGCAATTGATGGAGTTATTACTTGGAGATTTAGTAATGTAGTTTAATAGCAAACAATTACAATTTAGTTTAATAGTCAAACCCATTTTGATAGTACCATTGCCCCTATAGTTAAGATGTTACTTTGGATAGCGATACATTAACTTCTTATTACTGATAAATAAATAAGGAAAAGGGTATACATTAGTATCAATTGTCTTGATTATAGCTTAAATAAGACAAAAATAATGATTTAATCATAGTTAAAGAGTAACATGAAGTGTACATGATATTTAAGATTTTTATCATTGTTTTTCCACGAGTTTATAACTAAATCGTCAATAAATAATCCCGTAATTCTTAATCTATGCTATTATTATAATTTAAATAGCTAGCAACATGACCATGGTAGATGTGTGTCGTTGGATGGTTACCTCATAACATTCTCTTTAAGAAAATGGGAAAACAATTCAAATCAAAGGAGATGGTTGTCGGTGATCCGGTGGACGGCTGAGATCAATCAACCTCAACGAATCGACGGTTGGAAAATGCTTACCAGCTCTCACGCACAACGGCGCGCGGCAAGCGAACAAGGGGCAGGATCTTAATACCGTCGAATTAAACCGCAAAAAGCCAACGGAAGAAACAGATATCAGCCAGCCCGCGTATTTTTCCCTTCCTTCTTTCTCTTCCTTTCCCACCCTTCTTTTTCTGTCTTCTGGTGTCGGCGATTCGGCATAAACCCGAACCCTCTCGAATTTCCGATCCAGGAGGCAACCTGCGGGGTTCGGAGCTGCCAAAGATCCAATTTTCCGCATTAAAATCAGGGTTTCCGCTGCCTAAATCGGGGGTCTCATTGACTCCATGATTCATACTTAACCATTGTATTGAGAGTTCGAAACTAATAAGAGCTTCCAGCATCCGCCGGACGGTCACCGGCTCTGCAGAAAGCTGGAAAATTGGAGAGCCGCCGGAAAATTCAAAACCTGGGGTTTTCGGGATTTGCATTTTGGAGAGAACCCTTTTGTCCGCTCGCCATTCTGCTTCTCCCCCATTCAGTATTGTGGTTCCATTTTTCCTTTCCTGGGTTGCATTAGATCCAGATCTAGGAAGATGGGGAAAAAGGGCGGGTGCGGCTTCGTTGGGTGGTTGATGGTGTTAGTGATATTGGCATTGCTCGGCGTAGGGATCTTCTTAGTAGTGAGGCACAAAATGAACAAATCCGACGACGACGGCGATTCGATTCCGGGTCCTCCGGGAGCTATCCAGAAGAAGTACTCCGACGCTCTCAATGTCGCAGTCCAGTTCTTCGATGTTCAGAAAGGTAGCTGTGTTTACTTCTTTACCATTGCTAACTGCGAATTTTTGGTAGATTTTGCCATTTTGGAGCGCTCAGTCTGGGAGGGTTTCCTTTTCAGCTGGGAAATTGAACGAGGACAAGATAACTTGGAGGGGCGATTCAGCGCTAGAAGATGGCAGCACTGTGAAGCTCGACTTATCGAAAGGAATGTACGATGCTGGAGACCACATGAAGTTCGGATTCCCCATGGCATTCACTGCCACTGTTCTGTCTTGGTCAATCTTGGAGTATGGTGATCAGATGGAGGCAGTGAATCAACTTGGAACTGCTCAAGATTCCCTCAAGTGGATCACTGATTTCCTCATCCATGCTCACCCTTCAGATAATGTGCTCTATGTTCAGGTTCGTTTCATTCTGATTCGTTCATGTACAGCTTGATTTGGATTTGATTTGGTGAATAGAATAGCTGAAATGTTGGTTTTATTGGGCTAGGTGGGTGATCCTGTATCAGATCACAAGTGTTGGGATAGGCCAGAGGATATGACCGAGAAGAGACCGGTGTTTCAAGTGAACGCGAGTTCTCCCGGGTCAGATGTTGCAGCTGAGGCTGCTGCAGCTTTGGCCTCAGCATCTCTGGTGTTCAAGAAGAAAGATTCGGACTACTCATCCACATTGCTTAAGCATGCCAAGCAGTTGTTTAGTTTTGCGGATAAGTATAGAGGTTCATATTGCGATAGCATACCAGGATCTGCTACTTACTACAACTCCACCGGCTATGGAGATGAGCTGTTATGGGCTGCTTCATGGCTGTACCATGCCACGGGGGATCGGTCTTACCTTCAGTACGTGACTGGATCGAATGGGAATGATTTTGCAGATTTTGGGAACCCTAGTTGGTTCAGTTGGGACAATAAGCTGCCAGGAATCCAGGTATTGATGGTTGCAATGTGAAATGTCCCTAGGATGAACTGCTGCTAAATTTCTTCTGTTTTTGTCTTGAATGATGGAAATATGTGGAATTCGATGCAGGTTTTGCTGGCGAGATTGACATTCTTGGGTGAGAAAGATACCTCGAACTCTGGGCTTCAACAGTACAGGGAGACGGCCGAGGCAGTGATGTGTGGGCTTATTCCTGATTCTCCCACAGCTACTTCCAGCAGAACAGACGGTAAGCTTGAATTCTTGTCTTTTTTTTGTGGCATAATATGGCATCTATATGAGTGGGAAGTATAATACATTGAAACATTTCCAGCTTAGCTGGCCTTTTGGATCATCTAGTCATCACTTGTTTGGCATATATGCTAATCAAGGATCTCCGGCGGCCCTGTGTGAATTCACATAGTTCGTCCTGAAGATGAAAAAATTGAGGAACCTTATCTAGTCAGAGTATGCTATTGAAAATATGCCTAATATGTCGAAAAATGCCAATTGGAGCGATGATTATGAATGTTCTAATTAGTATTACCATTTACACGAGATGTTTGTTCTGTTGATCTTAATGTTAAAGGTGGGTGATGTTTGCAGGTGGTCTGGTATGGGTGAGCGACTGGAATGCCCTGCAGCAACCTGTTGCTGCAGCATTCTTAGCATCTGTGTACAGTGACTACTTGCTGACATCAGGGAAAAGACAGTTTTCTTGCAGTGGAAGTACATTCAAATCATCAGACCTCAAGAAATTCGCTAGATCCCAGGTAAAGATAGCCCAACACAAACCCAGTCCTTATGTAATTTGGCAACAGCAGTTCTATAGATGATTGAGAGGTATAAGATTGAGAATTGAGCCCTTCACCACCATGAGAGCTAATGTTGTTTAATCCTGGTAGGATATAACTCTTGTTATTGGAACGATCTAATTCCTTAATGCTCATGCTTTTCATTCCATTATTGTTAGGCTGATTACGTTCTAGGCGACAACCCAATGAAGCTGAGCTATCTAGTTGGGTATGGGGACAAGTACCCGCAATTCGTGCACCACAGGGGAGCTTCGATCCCCGCGGATGCATCCACAGGCTGCAGCGACGGCTGGAAATGGCTCTCGTCAACGGACCCCAACCCGAACGTGGCCATGGGAGCACTAGTTGGCGGACCATTCAAGAACGACTCGTATGTCGACGACAGAAACAACACAATGCAGACCGAACCCAGTACTTACAATAGCGCCGCCATGGTTGGGCTGCTCTCTGGCCTTGTCACCACTTCGTCAGTCGTCCAGTCCTTTAACTGAGACAAAAAGAACAAACTCAGCAATGTAATTCGTTGATTTGTTAAAAAAAAAAGGCTTGTGTGCTTTGTGAAAGGATACTTGTTGTAGGATGTGTTAGATTGAATTGTACTATTGTGCATTGGCTCCACTGCTCATATAACCCCAGCTTGCTTCATTGCATCTGCCGGTCCGAGGCTCGAAATTTTGGGTTAACCACATCTTTCTTATCAATGTTTTGTTCACATCAAACCAAATCGATTTCTGATTCATGTTGGATTTTGGAAGGTGAGACTGAGAGCAACTGTAATGGGGGCTTTCTGTTTGTTTCTCGCAGGCAACTCCCTTTGTGCAAACTAGTCAATAACACAATTTTCAACTAGACGACAACTAGTCATGTACTAATGAACACGGATGGGTCTGTTGTGCATGCACCTTCGAGTACGGCAGCAGGAGGTTCTAAGTCAGAGTTCGAACTGGTGCTTACACCGAAGCTCTTGTCCTTGCCTTAAAGAAAGTGACGAACTTTGATCCAGGAAAAAGCCTAGTCAGCCACCAACTCGGTGCAGGTCACGTGCCAGAATCCAGAATGCAGTCCTGGAAGTCTTTAACTCTATTGGCGTTGAATCTACACCAATTTGGCTACTGTGTTCACGTAGGCGAGCATTTAACGCACCAACTAGATTGTCAATGAAAAGGTTTCCTTCGACATCCGATTAACTGATGTACTCTTCCTTGTTTATATGTTGCTTTTTTTTTCATTTTCTATAATGAGAAATTCGGATCAATACAAAAGTAGATTTATTTATTATATCGATTTGATCCTGTAACGATAAATCAGTCAAAAGAGAGAGCACAAGTAATACCCCTAAGTAAGGAGCATATTCCCCTCTCTTTGTCATGTGTAGTGTGAGAACCAGCATCACGTTGAATCAAATCATTATATATGCATTTAGTGTTAATGGTCATTTGTCACACTCACACACACACATTGGAAATGGAAAGAGCTGTTTCCCCTGTTTTTATTGTTTTGGGTTTTAGTACACGAGTCAGCAGCTTGTTGATGTATTTGAGGAGGGGAGATGGAGTAAGGGTAAGTTTGGGAGGACGTCTTCTAGCAAAAGGACATGTGTGGCCTTCTCTGCCTTGGAACAGATGGTTCTTCAGTCCCTCGATAGTGAAAATTCTGAGCTCATTAGGGCAAGTGTCCATTTGGGCCAAATAGGTGAAAATCAGTAGTGAGTTGATGGGCTCTGCCTCTGACATTTGAGTTGAAAGAGATGAAGGGTGGGGAGGCAGGGGACATGTATGAAGGGTTGTGGACTTGTGGTGTGTAGTCTTATCCACCTCCCAACATTCATCCATTTGCATCCTTGAACTCAATTTTGATGGTCCATATTATTAAGGCTCATATTGCTACATTGATGAAATAGTGAGTGGTTTGGTTTGGTTAATTGAACAATAAACCATGACAAATAAAAAAACTCGAAGTAGTCGATTGTCGAAAATCAAAATCAATAAGTCTTTAGTGGATTTGGTTTCAGTCAGAATAAAAGGAGGAGATTCATAAACACCGCTTCCTGCTGATCTCCTCGAGACCAGATTAAAACATCTATCAAAATCAAGAATAACAATCCATAAACACCGTTACAGGGGTTTGATTGCCTCAAGGATCATCAGGTTGTTATCGGTTTGTTAATGATTTTTGATTTTGATCAAATTCGAAATCGAAATTGTTAAGAGCTTTTCGATTTGTAACCGCTAAGTAAAACCGATAAGCCTATGAAACCATTTCGATTAAAGTCGAAAAACTGATAAGCTCATTATCTTCATTAGATAAGAAACAAGGATTTCCATAACTGAACATGGTAATTGATATGCAGACCAAAGCAACAGTCGATCGAAATGAACAACAACTGTTTGCTCATTTTAGGCATACTTGCAATGCAAACATGAAACATGCATCCCCATCAATCCCCCTTTGCACTGAAAGCAATCTGTAACCAACCCTAGCCAATTAAAAATATATTAAAAATTAGATCCAAGCATTAACATTTTGCTTAATCACGGTCGAAAATCTTATTCATATATTTGTATTACCAATTACAAAAATTTACAAAACTTGTTCAAGCCCCAAATGGCAAATAATAGTAATCATCACCTACAAGTGGCCAAGAGAGAAATAAGTAAATAACCAATAAGGGTAAAAAATGCAAACAAACCCTAGCATAGAAATTACCACGTTGAAAAGGTGCCCTAAACTATCAACAAATTGGTAAATTACAATTAGATATTACAGTAAAAATTCTCGTAAACAGACAAACTACATTTTATAAGGATATAAAATTCTTCTCCAGTAAGTCAACGGGCTATGTCTGACTTGATTGTGTAACCCAATTGCTGCTCCATCTCCCAGTTCAACTTCGATGCTACACCACAATGCTGCGCTTCATATTCCTGCAGATTAGAAATTATCAAATGAAGAAAAATTTAATAAATAAAATGGGGTTTCATTGGATTGCTTTTTACCACGCCATACAATGATTTTTCACCTTCTTATTTATCACATGTAGATGTAGTAATTTATAGTAAGTACCTCGAGCTTGACCATGAGGTCATGGGCATTTTGGGCAGAGACGATAATGTGACGGGCAGCCGGGGCAACGAACCCTTCGTCCACGGCCTTGTCGATGAACGATAGTAATGAGTTGTAGTATCCATCGACGTTCAACAAACCCACCTGAAGGAACACGAAGTCATTTTTCAATTCCGGGGAGATAGAATGCTATATGCAGTAAACAAAGATCGATCATAAATGTTTCGAGGTTTGTGTGCTCACGGGTTTGTCGTGGATCCCGAGTTGAGCCCAGGTGATGACTTCCAGGAGCTCTTCGAGAGTCCCGTATCCACCTGGAAGGGCGATGAATGCGTCGGCTTGGCGAGCCATTTCGGCTTTGCGTTGGTGCATCCCTGATACTGGTTTGACATCTCCGACGGGTTCTCCAGTAATCTAGAAGAAAAAAAAGATCAGCGATGAAAGTGAAATCTGTTAGGTAACTTATGGAGTACGGAAGTCTATTTAAATAAACGCGTTAATTAATTAATTAATTAATTAATTAATTACCTCTCTAGGCATAAGAGTCTTGGGAATCACCCTGGGGGAACAGAAGGGAGCAAAGAGAATAAAAGGTTATTAGTTTAGAAAGCTCGTAATTAAGTGGAAAAAACAAAAGGAAAAATTGGTAATTAAATCCTTAAACTCTTGGAGATCTACTTTCCAAACCTTAACCTAGGTTAATTGAGGGGCTCAAGAGTAGGGTTTTTCAGAAACTCATCCACCATATCGTTGATTTCGAGAAATTTAGGGACGAAAATGACAATTTTCTCTAGAGTCAGAAAGAATGTGTAATGGTTTTGAGGTTCAGTCAATTACCCCAGAACGTGGCGGCCACCTTCATGGACGGCTTGAGAGACGAGGCCCATGAGCCCAATGCTTCCTCCTCCATAAACCAAGTCAATCTCCCTCTCAACCTGCAACATATATATCATATTACATCAGCCAAATTTGCACCATTCGAGGCTCGATCTGGATCACAATTATAATCTTGCCGCGTAAATTAAACATTTTCGTTGGCACCTCATCGCTAGATTAGAAGACTATAAGAAAGACCATACAAGAATAAAGAATTGACATATTTTAGCTCTCAATCGAAGGAAGTTCGTGTTTCCTATTAAAACGGAAATGGAATTTAACCCTCATGGTTTGAAAGATGAATAGAAGGAAAGACAAAGACCTAACACTTTACCCTTCATGTTACAAAGTAATGAAAATCACGAATTTACGTGAGATCGAAACCGATCTGACTTTTTTTTTTCCGTACCAGTTCTTTGGCTAACTGAAGAGCGGCGAGCTGGTAGCTTGGGTTCTTGCCGGCGCTGCTGCCACAGAACACACAGACGCGCCTGAACCTTGATCTCATGGCAGGCTGCTGTTGTTGGTTTTCCATGACAAAGGGAGAGGAAAGTGCAATTCTGATGTTGCTGTTTCTTTGTATGGGTTTCTTAAGAAAAGGGTATTGTTGGGAAGTTGGCTTTGAGTTGGAAGAAAAAGAAGTGAAGGTATGGGATTGGGAAAGGAAAGGAAAGGAATGAGAAGTAGCTAGTAGTGGTGCCAATCTGGGCCCTTTATATATGTGAAGAAGTGAACTATTTGGCCCCCTTTATTATTATTTTTTTTTTTAATTTAGGGGCTGCACCTATCTTCCTCTCCTTCTCTTCACCATTGATTAATAAGTTCCATTTCCAAACACACCACCATCAATTTTATTTGTTTTTCTATTTAATGAGTTCTTTTTATTTTTATTCTTCTTTTGTGTTATTGAAATTCATATATGTCCACATCTATAGGGGCTATGGCCATCAATTTCACACTCAACAGTTTTTATAGTGGCTAACCTCTCTTTAATTAGTTTATTATATCAGTCTTCCTTCCAATGGCTGATTATGTTCTTGCAAAGAAAACATTATGCAAACCCACAAAAAAGGAAAACCTATATACCCCTACTAGCTAGCTAGGTGATTTCTCCCTCCTTTGATGCACAAAATTATGTACTAATACCTCATATAATACTTTGGTCATAATCAGTCATGCCCTCTTTTCTTGATGCCAAATGAAAATGTGAAATGACAATAAACTTGAGAGGTAAAATTATATTTTATATTTTTTAGTTAAATATACTTGTTCATAAAATAAATTCTTCAATATGATAAGTGGAGTGTTATCTTCTGTAATTACCTAAAACTTCGTCATACCCTATTGTTCATATATAGGGGTTGTTTGGAATTCTTGATCCCGTAAATGGTACTCTGAGAATGTATGCAGTAAGATTATGTGTATAGTAAGAATGCATGTTTTTTACGTTTTAACAATATACATTGTTTGGAAGATATAAAGAATGCGTGTCTTTAATCCTAATTTTTTTCCAAGGTAAGCCCAGAGTGCATGGGACAAAGACGCGACTCAGTTACAAGGAAAACTCCAGAAAAAAACGATAATCCGTAAGCAAAGATATTTCCTATGAGAGAGCCTGATTTGAAGACACAAATACTAAAACTCACCAGAAAAGTAAAATGCACAATAATATACGCATACTCATATTACATAATTCACAATAAAATATTCCAAACCACATGAGTTTGACCAAATACACACAAGTTGACTGAAATGTAAATGATGAGCATATTTTAAATATGGATCTAAGCCTGGTCACTAATAAGATTGGAATGTGCAAAGACCAAAAAAGTAAATAATGGATCTGAACGACATGCTCTGAGAGTGATCAACTTATTGCCCTTCTCTCTCCTTTTTCAAAACCTCCACCTTCTCTCTAGCTTTCCATCATCTTCTTCACAGGGCTGCCGCCGACACCACTCTGGTGACCGGCGGTGACCCAAATTCTCTCTTTTTTCTTCCTTTCTCTTGCTCGCCGGATTTCCTTTGTGGTTTCCTTGCTCTCCGATCAGTGCTGGCTTTTCCTGTTTCCTTTGCCCTTCTCGGCTTTTGCAGATCCTTTCTGATTTTCCAGCCCTCGATGGCTCTTCCAGCCCTTGGCGGCTTTATCTCGGTTCCTAAGTGGTTCCTCCCACATTCCTCCCTGGTGGAGATGTTGTGTCTTGTTCAGATCTAGTTTTCTAGATCTGTTCCTCTGTTTTGGGTATGGAAGATGCAATTTGGGGGTGCTTCTGCTAGTTCGGTTTTGAAGATTTCCTCCTTCTTGGTGTGGTCGTCCCCGTGGGCGATCACGTTCACTGTTGCACCTCTGCCGTTGTGCTCCTTGCTTGATCTCTGCATCTTTGCCAATCGTCAGTGTGGGTAGCGGTGTTTCTTCCGATTGTCGTGGCGGATGGTCCATGTTTCTATGAGATCAGAGTTCTTCATTTGGGTTTATTTGCAGGGTGGGTGTGGGTTGTTGTTGATGGATTGGGTTGTGCTGCTTGTTGGTGTTCCTGTTCTTGGAACTCTTTTTGGCTTTGTGTTTCTGCAGGTGAGGCTCATGCTGGTGGGTCTTCTTTCTTGTGGTTTTTGTGGGCATTTCAACCCTTTGTGTTCCCTGCTCTCTGGTTTGTCATGGATGCTTCCGCTGCCGGTTCCCTCTCTTTGTTTCAGCTCTGAACAATCCTGTATAGTGCTGCCCACCGCCATGTAATCTCCTTGGTGATTCACTGTGATGGGTCGTCTTCGAACAACTCCCAGGAGGCGGCATATGGTGTTGCAATGTTCAATCATCATGGTCATTGCTGTATTGGATGAGCTGAAGCTTTCCTTTGAGTTTTTCTGATAAATGAGGTTGCAAAGAGTGATTCAGATGCTTTGGTTTGCGGTTCAAGAATAGAATTCCCTTGTCTAGTTGGATCATGCTTGGCTTTCTCTTGTTCTGATCTTCTCCTTGTTGGTTTGTGTGTTCCTCTAGATGTTGAGGCTGTTCTTTCTTGATTTGTTTTCTCATGTTGTTTCCCCTCTTTGTAACCGATTTTATTAGTTGAGCAATGTAAGTGATCCCTTTATCAAAAAGATCCAACCAACAAGGAGCTAGGGAAATAAGTCAAATAACTTACAGGAGCCAATAATTACGGCAAATTGACAAGCAAAGAAAGAGAAGAGAGACAAAGTGTACTCGCGGGATTGCACGTGAAATTTGTAAGTACAATCTGCCCCACTAAACTATTCATTTCCCAGAGATCCAATTTAGATGTGAATGTGATTCACTATGAGTCTATTCTAGGAAAGATGGAGTGGAATTCAGAGCTATTGCAATGCATTCTAGTAGATCAAGTGAAGACTACTTTCAGGTACTCGTATGACACGTTTACTTATCGCCAAATTTCATTTGGCATGTACAATGCATCTGCTACATTACCAACAACCTTTGATGATTTGCCCAAAAAAGTGGTGGAAGTATTCATGGACGTTTTTATCTATAACGATTCTTTCTCCTAGTGTCGGGAGAAGATGAAGAAAGTTCTGATTTGTTTTGAAAACTCACATGGCCCCAAGGCACTTCACAAAAGGGTTGACGACCAAGGCCATGATTATAATCGACTATATCAGACACACTGCATTGAATTTTGATTCTTTGCAGGTTGAGTTGTGCTAAATCTTATGGTGATTATGGCCTAAAATGATTAGTTTCAAATTTTAGAGGACAAAAGGTAACTAAAAGTAGTGGGGTCTTTTTCCCTATATCTGGATATAAGAGTGGAAGGAGTACCTATGTATCTTAATGCATTCAATTTAACGATTTAGTAGTCGTAGAACCGAGTTTTGTGCTCGGTGTTCCTAATTTCTCAAGTTTAGTGACCTTTGTTTTCAAACCCTTCATAAAACTATAAGCAAACATCGAGGTACTCATTTCTCAAATGTTAATTACAGTCATGAATAGAGCACCAAACTATGAAGAATCATATGCATACTTTAGAATCTTAACATATGATCGTACAACTTACAAGCATGATTGAGCTAGACCAAACCCTTGTTCGTAACTAGCAATCGGTAGTTACAAAGAATTTGAGAGCCATTATAATAAACTAACAATCTATAGTTGCATCTTCATGTAATCCCTCCAACATTATGTGAGGTTCTTCCACTATATATGGTGTCGTCGAGTCAGCTAGCATGAAAGATCGATCGAGGGCAAGTAGTCCTCGATCTCTATAGCTAGCTAGGATCTTCTTTCTCATCATCACATGATTATTGATTAACCACCATTAGTTAGCACATCAAGCCATATGCGCCTAAGATTTGGTTTGGAGAGTATTGCATTCTCAATTTGGCAACTCGACCTAGATTTCTATATACTATTAATTTATGAAGATAATTATATAAGATCGAACCAAGAAATTGTAATTAATCTGTATTTATTTATATTTTTCTTGCAATTTTAGTTTTCTCTGTAATCTTCAATCACACTTCGGTCGTTGTGGTACACTTTTTTCTAGATGAAAATGAGTTTCATTATATTATAGAATCAAATAAGTGAACGCTACAAAGGGTATGATATTTCGTTAAATATAACAGCAACAACAAGAAATAAAGACAGAAACGACAGAAAAACAAAATCTAATGAAACCAAATTGAATGTGTAGGTATATCACATAAACAAAGAAGACATTTCCCAATTAGCAAAGAAGGCATATCCCAATATCTTCTTAATCATTTCATAATACATTTTAAAATAATTAAAAAATTAATGACTAAATTAAATTATGAACAGGTGCAGATTAGTTATTATAGAAGAAAAACCCAAGTTGGGAATCTCCATTCCTATTTATCAATCATCATTAGTTTATTATACTGGGGTTTCTAATAATTAGGTGTATTTAATTGATTGGTGGGTTCTAGTCCTTTTGGACTTATCAACTGCCATGGATCACACCTGTTGTTCAAAATTCTTATGTGAATATATATTTTGAGATCATCTCCCCTTAGACAACATTTACAAAGGAATAATAAGAATAGCTTTAATTGGGTAGTTGGGCAAGTGTAATTGCATCTACACTTGAAGGTCATCTCTCAAACCTGATCCATCCTAGAAGTTTCCCTTAAAGGGGAACCAAAGTAGGTACACATATTCCACCTTATTATGTCATTGCTTCCTTAGATGGCTAAATTATATATTCCACCTTTAACCAATCTTATCTTCAGAAATGGTTGAATGCCTTTAATTTGTAGCCTTTTTGTTTCCTTTCTTTCCTCTATAGTCTTACCACCATGCACTTGGAAAGCAATGGTATCATGGTTTTTGTAAGAAAAAAACAAAGGTAACATGCACAAGCGTTTTCATCTTATTAGTTGAAATTTGTGTATAGATATTTTTAATTCTCTTTAATTTCAGAATGTATTCTTATGGCTGGTAAATAGAGGTAGATGCATTTTTTTTAAAGTTTCTTTTGATGTGATCTTTGAGCACCATTAGAAGGGTTGTTTAACCGATCGTCGGTTTAACTTAAAAAATCAAAATGATAAATTGATTAATCAACCAACTCGATCCAGGATGTAACTATCTTCTTTTGATTATTAATATGATTATCTTTTGTCAAAAAAAAAAAAAAATTATCAACCAACTCGAAATCA